GCGCCCAGCACACTGGGCAGGGAGCCACCGAGCTGGGAGGAGCCAGTGCCTGTCCCCTCCCTTCCTCCTGCAGAGTCCAGGTGAGGCTCTCACAACACCTGCCAGAGGGAACTGAAGCAGGAAAGAGCTGTTCCTGAAGCCTGGCTGGTGCAAATGGAGCAGGGCCCAGTGACCGGGCAGGGGGGCAGAGGCAGTCGGATTGCTGGTAAGAAGGGAGTAGAAACAAACACTGCACATCCCTCTACCCGTATTATTAGCCTGGGAGAGACTTGAAACATGCCAGTACCAGTCACAGCAACCTATGCTTCGAATTGCTTCTCCCCCAGCATTTTCAGACCGTGTCAGCTGGCCTCAGCCGCAGGAGAAAATCTGATATTTGTAACAAACTCTTCAATCAGATGGCGTCCGTGGTGAGCAATTTCTTATGTGTTCGGTTTTTAAGGCTAGAAGCAGGGAGGGCACCTTCAAGGGACAGGGCCCTCAGCAGGGGCTGGGGAATCCGGAGATCATGTGGCCAAGAGATTCCAACTCCACCGCTCTTTCCAGTGCTTTCTTTCATTCATCACGTATTTTCCCAAACTTAAGTGTTCTAGTATTTTTCTAAAATACCACTGTGTCCACTTCTTTTTGTTTTTCTTTGTTAACCCTCACCCAAGGATATTTTTCCATTGATTTTTAGGGAGAGTAGAAGAGAGAGGGAAAGACAGAGAGAAACATCGATGTGAGAGAAGCACATCGACTGGTTGCCTCCTACCCGAGCCCTGACCAGGGCCCGGGCCAGGGAGGAACCTGCAACCAAGGAATGTGCCCTTGACTGGACTTGAACCCAGGACCCTTTGGTCCACAAGCCGACGCTCTATCCACTGAGTCAAACCGGCGAGGGCTGTCCACTCCTTTATGGATAACTTTTCTCTCTTTCCAAAATATTTTTGTAAAAAGAGTTTCTTTGTTTAAAAAAAAAAAGTGTGATTAAAAACAAAACACATTTTTTTTTTTTAGAAACTATTTTCTGTCAACCTTATTTCTTCGGTTGGTGGTGGTTCCCACCTACTGGGTGGCCTGAGCGGTGGGGCTGCGTCCAGCGCCCAGTCAGCAGTGGGCTGAGCACTCCAGCCTCAGGAGGAAGCTGCTGAACCGGCACAGGGGCAGTGACTTTTTTATCTGAAAGAGTACATCTGCTGCTGGGGGAATGCAGACTGGTGCAGCCACTGTGGAAAACAGGATGGAGTTGCCCAAAAATTAAATAAGGAACCACAGTTAGACCCAGCAATCCCACTTCTGGAAATATATCCTAAGAGTCCCAAAACTCAATTAGAAAGACTATATGCACCCCTATGTTCACAGCAGCACAATTTACAATATTTAAGATCTGGAAACAGCCCAAGTGCCCATCAGCAGATAAGTGGATAAAAATGCCATGGTACATTTATACCACGGAATACTTGGCAGCAGTAAAAAAGCAGAATTTCCTACCCTTTGTAGCAGCATGGATTGACCTGGAGAGTATTATGCTAAGTGAAATAAGCCAGTCAGAGAAGCACAAATATCACATAATCTCATGTATATGTGGAATCTAATGAACAAAATAGATCCAGAGACATGGATGCATGGAACAGACTGACACATCTCAGAGACAAGGGGGAGGGGGGAGATTAGCTTAAAGAACTTACATGCATATATGCATAGCCCGTGGACACATACAATAGTGCAGTGAAGGCCTGGGTGAGGCAGGGATTGGGGGGAGGGGGGCAACGGGAGGGAAAGGGGGTTTCTGTAATACTGTCAACAATAAAAAATGAATAAATAAAAAAAGAAAGAAAAAAAAAGAGTACATCTGTTTGTGCACTAACTCTCCGACCTGTGAAGTACTTTAAGCAAGATGCCTTCAGATGCCTGGCCCTGGGGGCGCTGTCTCACCTCCCTCCACCCCGGCCACCTGCACGGGCCTCTGCTAACACACACCTGCTTGGGGGCTTCACCTGTCCGGGGCAGCCTTCAGGTGGGACCTTTGGGTGCAGGTGCAGCAGGCTGGAGCCCTTCAGGCTGGGACACTGACATTCTGCGCCTTCTTCTTTCAAAGTCCAGTTCAACCCTAGGGGCTGTGTGCCTTCTTCAGACCAGGGCAGTACTTCTCAGATCCTGAATACAAACCCTCCTGACTGTGTTGAGCCCCCAGTCAGTCCGTGCTCTTCCTCACCCCTCCATGAATCCTCCTCAGCCCTGATCCCGGCACCCTCCTCACAAGCCTCCCACAGCTCCCCTCTGCTAATCCAAACCAAGACCCACAGCACTGACAGCCTCTTCCTGGGCCTGTCCCACTGCCCGGAGCCCATGCCCAGTCAAGGTGAGCCGGTCACTAGTCCCTGCCCACATTTCATATTACCACTTCCTGTACTGTACGTTTGGCATGACTGCCTTCCTCCCTCATTCATTCACTCAGGCAACCAAGATTTGTTGCATGCCTGCTATATGCCAGGCACTGTTCTAGAAGCTAGAAGTCAGCAACAAACAAAACAGACAAAACTCCCTGCCTTGGAGGATCGTATGTTCTCACTGGTGTCCCGGTGCACGGATTCGTGCACATTGAAAGGAAATTAATTAGAAGAAATATTTTAATATCACTATTTGCCCTTTCTCTATAATAGAAGTGTCAACCAAACTCACACTAGACAATGACAGATCGAAACACACGCGTGCGATTGGTGACAGCGAGAGCTTTATATGTATCATGCATGTGCAAGTCAACTTAGCCTTTGATAGATATAGAATATACTTGCTTAATTAGACCCGCTTTCTGATGTAGCTAAACTTTTTCCAGCCCAGTGAAGCACCCCAAATTCTCTTTCAGGTAATTGTCAGCAACACAGCAGTAAATATCAACACAAAGCAGATTATTATTGTAGATCACGCAGGGAGAACAAAGGGTAAAATATTTAACTGTACCAGTGTTTGACTATATTCTGTGCAGTGAGAAAACCTGAAGTCATTTTCAAGGTCCACCATTTCTTACTTCTTTCAGTTGGGTCAAGTTTCTAAACTTTCTAAATCTCGATTTTCCAGCTAATGAAAAGAAAATAGGATTCCACCGAGTCTTCTATCTACCTACTCCAGGATCAAATAAGATGAGGCATGTGAAAACGCTTCACAAACATTTGGTTAAAGTGTAAAATGTTTACACCTGGCTATAAAGCAAGTCATGTTCCTGGGCTGAAGAAACTCTAAGGAGGTTAGTCGCTAGGGAGAGGAAGCTGGGCATTGCTATGCGATGTCATTACCTGGTGCCCACAGCGACCATTTCTGGGCTGCGCTGGGCTGTGGGCCGAATTTTGCACCACGGAGTCTTGGCAGCATTGGCTGTGATTTGATGAGGTGTCACTCCGGGGTGGTGGCAGGCCCTGTGTCCCACTTGGGGGAAACCAAGTGTTGGTTTGTCAGCGCCAGGTCTGTGGTGCCGTTTATTTTTAAATGGCCAGTGTGCGTCATGACAACTCCTGTGTTGAGCGTCTGCTCCCTGGTGGTCAGTGCACATCATGGCTACAGGTCGGATGGGCACTTAGCCTTTTATATACATCAGCGGTTCTCAACCTGTGGGTCGCGACCCCTTTGGGGTCGAACGACCCTTTCACAGGGGTCGCCTGAGACCATCGGAAAACACATATATAATTACATATTATTTTTGTGATTTATCACTATGCTTTAATTTTGTTCAATTTGTAACAATGAAATTGGGGGTCACCACAACATGAGGAACTGTATTAAAGGGCCTCGGTATTAGGAAGGTTGAGAACCACTGATATATATAGATGGAAGGAGACAGGCAAATAAATGAACATGTAAAACCAGGTGATGATAAGTGCAAAGGAGACTACTGAATGCCAGGGGGCAGCTGGCATGGTGGTCAAGGAGGGCCTCCCTGGAGAAGTGGCATTTGAGTAGAACCCTGCAGGAGGGAGGGCATGAGCCTCCAGCAGAACACTGGGAGAAAAACATTCCAGGCAAAAGGAGCAGCAAGTGCAAAGGCCCTGAGGCTGGAATGTGCTGGTGTGTTCTAGGAAAGGCAAGGAGGCTAGTGGGGATGAGAAGATCATGCAGGCCTAGTGGGCCACAGCAGGGACACTGGCTTTCACTGTAAGACCTGAGCCTGAGGGCTCTGAGCAGACGGGCTACACATTGGGCATACACTGTCACAGACCACTCTGGCCTCCAGTTGTTGAGAACAAACTGCAAGGGGCATAGGGGGGAAGAGACACCAGATAGAACGCCTCTACAATGATACCAGTGGGAGGCAATAGCAGCTTAACCCAGACTCATGACCGGATCTCCTGGCAGGTTGGGTTTAGGGGTACAGAAAGAGCAGAGAC